CCAAGACACTCAAAGCCCTTCCTATGATACTAACCAAGGAAATGCCGACACACCACCAGATCATACCCCTGGCACATCTGTGCCGATGGTTGACTTGGGGGTTGAGAAGGGCTCGAACTCTTCCTCATCTGACGGTGCATTGTCCTCTGGGTCATAGAGGAGGCACTCTCAGAGTCCAGCAGGAGCTCAATGAAGAAAAAAGAAACCAACAACAATTGATACAATGGCCGACGTTATGGCCATGATGGCATGTACCTTGAAGGACTGGGCAATCGCTACTATTAGCTGCATGAACAATGATCCTACAACTATTGTTGCTGCTTAGGCAAGCAAGGACTGAGAGCAATGCACACGGATTGTTGAAGCCTTGTGGAAAGAGGGAGAAATAGATATTGATGTCCTCTATCTTCATAGAGGCATCTCAGATATTTCAAGACTCCTCAAGTATGGAGTTATTTTTTACCGTGGAGAACCTAGAAGGTCGAGTGGCCCAGTTGGAGGATAAGGTGCAGCAAATACAATAGTATTAGTTTCCTCCTGTACTATGTTGATGAACTTCAAATTACTTTGTTTTTGTCGACAAACTTTAATTTTGGTGTCTACTTTTGGAAGGATCTTCATATGAAGATATGAATGCTTCTTTTCTCTATGTATGGCAGTTTAAATATATCTTTCATGGATCAGTTCAATTTTAATTTTTTGCTTTATAAATGGGTTAGGATAATGGTTGTCATTATGTCATTATGGTTAAGGCAAGTATGAAATTTTGCTTTAGAGATGGTAGTTTAAATGGATTTATCTTTTGTAGATGAGTTCAATTTCAGTTTATTGATTTATGGATAGGTCAGGATAATGTTTGTCCTTATGTTATTTTGGTTATTTCATAATATGGAAATTTGTTTTATGGATGGTAGTTTAAATGGATTAATCTTTTGTATATGAGTTCTATTTCAATTTACTGATTTATGGATTGGCCAAAATAATGTTTGTCCTTATGTCATTATGGTTATTTTAAAATATGGAATTTTGCTTTATGGATGGTAGTTTAAATAGATTGATCATTTGTGGTTCAGTTCAATTTTAGTACGTTACGTTAATTTGTTTGTTTTCCTTTTCGGTGATCCTGATATGAACGACAATTATCACTCACAACGCTATGGACCCCCAAGGCAAGGAGTTCATGTTCATATTTTCTGTCATGTATGTGGCATTTTGTACAACATATTGGCATAACTAGTCAGGTGAGAAGGAAGCGTGTACTTACCTCAATCCTAACCGGGCGCAAGTACATCGAGTACTGACAAATGGGGCATCCTTGTCATTGCTTTGATATGTTGCGAATCAAGAAGGGCAGCTTCCTCGATCTTTGTAATCTACTAAAGGACAGGTCACTGATTATAGACACTTGATGGTTGAGGAGCAAATGGCCATATTTTTAAGCACCCTAGCACATGATCAATGAAACAGGGTTGTTCAAGAACCCTTTCAACATTCTGGCCAAACCGTCAGTTTCTACTTTAACAAAGAATTGATTGTGATATTACAATTATGACCCATGTTCCTACAACTTTCCGGCAATGAAGCACTAAAGAACATTGAGGATGACAAGGAGAGGTTTTACCCAAATTTTAAGGTGATGTATGGTCTTCTCCTTTTTAGGGTGGTTCAATCAATAGTAAAACTATTAATAATGGTATATGTACTCTGAATTTTAACAAGAATGCATAGGAGCGACCATGGGACATATATCCTTGCACGAGTTAGGAGCAAAATGCATCAATGCTCCAGAAATATGAAAGGATTCTTAACCCAAAATGTTATGGTCGCAGTTAGGTTTGAGATACAATTCCAATATTGCCTTACTGGGTGGGAGGGCTCTGCATCAGACTCTAGAGTCCTACTTGACGTGATTGGAAGGGAACACAATCATTTGGTGGTTCCTGAAAGTTAGGCGATATGGGGAGGAGAAGACAATTATACTAACCTAACTCATGGACAAGACGATCATGATGATGGCGTCGAGATCCGAGATGCAATTGCATCTCAATTGTCGCATGCATATGTTAATCGATGGGGATGATTTGTTTTTTAAAATATATAAAATTATGTTATGAACTTCACCTATTTCTTTGTCTTGGTTAGATATGTGCTAAATATTTATGTAACTGCAACTTGTCTAGTGCAATTACATACAGAACATATTCTAGCTATTGGATTTTGATTCACATCTCCTTGATGGAGAAAAAACTTGTACTTCATTATTCACATGATTCATAAAAAATGCAAGACTTCATTGTTATAAACTTTTTATATCGTGTGCTGATGAGTCTACCATTTATATTGGTTGTCATTATGTCTTTATGCTTAATCTTTTTACACTAGTGAGAAATATGCACACTTATTTTTGTAAACTGTATGCCATGGGATGGGATCATAACCCTTTGGGATATGTGAATTAAGTGTATGTATGTATCATGCATATTTTCTCGAACTTACACATTGCACCTTTTGGTTAGTGTATATACGGGTGATTGTCATATAGGAGGACTCCTGTGCAACTCATATGAGTGTTGAGGAATGAAATTCTATCTACTTGTGCATTTGGTATCCACTTGGTGTCCTTCCAGAGTACTAGATGTAGATTGGATCTGCAAAACTTTAACCACAAGCTTAATTTCAAGCATATGACTCGCAACTGCTTTGCTGTATTGGTTTCAATAGGCTCTATCATGCAATTCAAGTTTATGCTTCTTTCAAATTGTTCGATGTATTGATTTCAATAGGCTGTATCATGCAATTCAAGTTTTTGCAGTTTCATAATTTGATATATCTCTAAGTTTTGTATGCCTCCATTCATTTATCTATGAATACCCCGGCAAAATTATTATATGGTCTTTAAGGGAAGACAGTCAGGGGTTTACGACTCTTGGACAAAGTGTGAGCAATACGTAAGGTATTTCAAGAACGCGGAGTTCCAGGGTTACAGAACCAAAGATGATGCAAAAGCAGCTTATAATGCTCGAAGATTACCACAAAGTTCAACAACGCGTGACTGCACTACCCATCAATATTTCCATGGAAACGACAGGGAATCATATGGGTCAATCACCAATGTAGTAGTTAATCACTCTAACTATAAAATGTGTAAAATCTTTTCTTTCATTATAGTTCTAGTTGTTATTGGCTTTTTTCCTTTCTAAGAAAATGAGAACATAGAAGAGAACATTGGAACCGTTTCAATGATACTATGTCACTATTACATACTATTGATGAATGGTATGTTGTTTTACTGGTTGGGATATAGATGCATGTATGGTGAATGTATATTTCTATGATGTGTTCAAGCTATTACAGGTTATTGATATATTTTTGAATGTGATGCTTTCTTCAAATGTCAATTTCTATGTTTCAAATTATATGGTATGTCTTGTGAACGAACATGCAATTGTTATGGTGATGAATAATATGGATTTTTTCAACCATTTGTATAATACGAACTTATTTTATTAATGCTTTTAGTGAAGGCTAAGAGTACGTGTGAGAATTTGTTGAACACTATTTTGGCACAAATTTATGGTAGCATCAAGTGTGAATTTTAGATAGATTGCCCAATGGAACCCTATAGAGGAGGCCTAATTAATTGATCTCTTGTTGAAAGAGGTCAAGCAAGGGGATGGCGTCAAGCAAGGTGCCTAGAACTGGATGACCCAGTTCATGGAAAGCGAATATGGGAGCTCGTTTAACTTGGAATGGTGAAGAGTAAGCTCAAGCAGTTTAGGTCAGAGTACGTAGAAGTAAAACAATTTATGGGACAATCAGGTTTTGGGTTTGATCATGCTAGAAATATGGTAACTCTCGAGCCATCCGTATGAGCTCATTATACAATGGTGACTTGAAAATGCCTTTTGTCTATTCCTCTGTGGAAGATAGCAGAAATAGGCGTTGATGTCTTCCTAAAGGCATATCGGACATTATGTTTTGTTCTTTGCTTTTTGGATGGTTGGACAAGATTTAATTTCGGTGTCTAGTATGTTTGGTTGTTTACTTTAGTTTGTTTTCCTTTGGGATGATCATCATATGAACGACAATGATCTTTCACGATATTATGGAATTCTATTTCGTTGATCATAACCATGGATTAAACGGCATGTATTTCATCAATGATCAAATGCTCCCTTAGCTGTTTTTTGCAATCAATGTGCAAGATATTCTTTCATTAAATGGTTATTGAATAGATGATTTTCTCTTTTGTTTACTTCTACAAAAAAATTAATGATGCCTCAAAGGAAAGGTGATAAAACCCATATAACATTAGAGCTCAATGAATATTATTAACATGACAAAAATATATTACACAACAAATGTAGTGTCAAGTTGATTATAATAATATCAACTTTGGGGTGCAATTAGAGATTAGGAATGTTATAATTATTTTCTTCATACATAACATATTTTTTCCATATCACTAAAAAAATGAACAAGCGGTTCAAACTGGGTTGACATGTCTCCAATTCAAAAGTTATGGGGTGAATCAAACATATGTACTATGAACTTCTTCCACAATTCAGCATGTAATCAGACATAGGTAACCATAACTTCTTTTAAATTCCAGCAAGTTATCACAGTACTCAGAACTTAGTTTAACCTTCTAGAATAAATAAGCCCCCTTCTCAACAAATAAGAACTTATTTTTTTCAGAGGAACATTTATTTTTCGGCAAAGTTCCAACAAACAAATGCGTCCAAAAGGAAAGTTATTTGGCGCTTCCAAGCCAACGCTTGTAATTATGCAAGCTTGGAGATCTATACCGTCCACTAAAATTGGGTTCACTAAATGGTCTTCTAACAAAAAATAAAATCAACATTTCAAATATTTTAACAAAAAATATCATTTTTAGTTTTAAAATTTATTTATTTTTATATATTAATAATTTCTTTATATATTCCTTTAAATTCTATTTCAAAGATAAATTATTAAGGCCGTATTTTTACATGTGAGTCCGTCGAATTGTTCCTAATTTAGAAACCGTGTCCCTCTAATTCCAGTGCTCACTCCCTTTTGTGCCTCTCTCTCTCTCTCGCACATTCCCATATGAAATGGGATCCATGCTCCCATGAGAGGAGTTGGGGCGAGGCTGTATATCCTGAAACCTCTGAGTTGGGTGGCGTTTATCTTGACCAGTGTTCTTGCTCTGCTCTTTCTCTTCTTCCAAAACCAAAGCCCACACCAGAGCAGTCTTCTCTCTCTTGGCCTTCAACCACCACTCATGGCTACTTCTCACTCTAGGAGGCTTGGGTTGGTGTTATGGCTTCATGGGTTGGGTGATAATGGCCCTGCCAACGTTCCCATTAAGTCCTTCTTCTCTTCCATCCCTGAATTTTCCCATACCAAATGGCTCTTCCCCTCTGCCCCTTCCGTGCCAGTCTCTTGTAACTGTGTGTCCTCTCTCTCTCTCTCTATCTGCAAAGACAACACAATTCTATATGTAATTCTAATTGATGAGTATTTTCGTAATAATCGTCAAATAAACTTCTTGGTATTTCTAGATTCAATAATCTTCATCATCATTTTACTTGGTATTTGTTGTTTGGATTATCATTTAACTTGTTCATAGCTGCTGAACTTGCTGTAAATGAAATTGGGCATTTTATAATAGGTGGTTGATGGAAATTAGGATTAAATGGAGTGCCCTAGAGCGATGTTGGAGTGCACTATTTGAGTAATGCTGGTGCAGATTTTGATTCCTTGTTTTTGTACGATGAATTGTGGGCTTTGAGTCTTTTACTGAATTAAGTGCCTGCTGTTGCTTAATTGGACTGTCACATTTTCTTTCTAATGTTTTTTTACCCTTTGAGTCATTTCTTTCTTTCTTTTTCCTTTTTTTCTTTCATTTTATTATTATTATTAGTATTAAGTTTTTCATTTTGACGGTGGAAAGTGGGCCCTTTTATTTCAATCGACCCAACCATAAAATATTTGGGAAACTATCGCTCTCAGGTTCCCTCACTGTAGTGATCATTTTATGTAGACTTTTGAGCTCTTTTGTTGATTTATTTTACTACGTGAGATATTTTTATTTGCCAACTTGGATTATACGTTGAGTTTCAATATTTAAATATTACATTTTTCATTCTATTTTGAGGTATATACTAGTTCAGAGCAGTGTCAAATGAATTTCTATGTTCTATACTTTTTCAGGAATTACCAATGTTGTACCTTAGTGGATTTAACTTTTGTGTTTCTACATTTTCGTTTATGTGTAGGATATGCTAGTCAAAAGTGTTGTCAAATAAATTTCTGAGTTCTATTGTTTCTTTTACCGTACTTTAGGGGGGTAAAAGCTATTTAGAATAGAACTTCTGTTATCGTTATATTTTCTTCAAATAGTGCTTGAAGCTATTGATTAGGGGATGCTAGGATATTAAAATGCTATAATCATTTCAGTTGTGTTGGATAAGCTATAACTTTTGTTAATCAATCTTCCATGCTATTCTCTAAACATTTACTTTTAGTTTCTATATCTTATTGTGATTGTTTTGGGGTTGGTGCAAACAACTACTTCAAGAACTTAATCACATCGGTCTATTTTGTAAATGGTAAAGGAACCATGTATGACCCCAATGTTTGAAATATGCATTATAGATCAAGCTGGTATGATGAGTTAATTCTTCAATTATCCAGATTATAATTCAAAAATTTTTCAGAGTTGCTAGGCCCAGGAAGGGGTCTTTATACATTTGACACATTATTGTGATCCTGAAAGGCTCCAAAACATTTTAATATAACTTTTTACCTTTTTAAAGAGTTCTATTGTTGACAGATTTAGTTCTTAGAATCTTATTTACGCAAAGGTTAACCGTACTATTATTTTATCTGGAATGAGTTTTGTTGACACATTTCTTCTACAATTCTTACGAGGGAAATTTATATACTTCGGGATGAACCAGATGCCATGAGACATCCTTAATCCTTGGGCATTTCATTTTCCTAATTTTTTGCAGGAGGAACCTTCAAGGTGTATTATATGCCGGCTGGTTAGATATGCTATTTCAGTAGTCCACTTTTACATATGCATGTTGTAATCAAATAGCCTTATGTTGATGAATCCACTGTGGAACTAGTTGCAGGTAGTTGAGACCTGAAAGGATTCATGAAAATATTACCTGACGAAGGTTAATCAGGACATGGATGATATGTTTATGATTCTTACAATAAATATTTGTCAGGGGAGTTGACAACCACCATAGTTTACGGTCTGTGCAAATATTCATTAATTTCTTATCTGTTTTTTATATGAAGGATGTTTGTATGGCAACCTATTATGGTTCTCTGTTCGGATGGAACAGATCTTGGACGGTGCATGAGTGCAAAGACTAAAGACACACCGAATATGGATTTAAGATATGTGGTCACTTCTCTATGCCTGATAGGTTGGATCATGGACAGCGATGGAGAGCAGGACATGGGCCTTATTTTTCTATTTTGTCCTCTGTCTTTGTAATATTTCTTGTGGCTTGAGAACTTTGATAGGCGTTCCCTTGCCTTCTATAATTTTTCATTTGTGGCTTCCTTCAGATGACGGCATTGATGATTGGTTATGGATTCAGTGAAGCATTTGCTATCATATTGGGCGTGGATCCAATGCTCCACCTTTTGTTTGATAATGATATATTGATTTTATGCGATGCCTAAGATGAGGAGGCCGACAATTTAGCTTTATAATCTGATGTTGGGAAAAGTAATGTGATATATGTTTGGATGGACTTTGCAAGGTCATTGTATGAAGGTTTTGTTGGGGAGCAGGTCTCATTGCAAGCATATAAGCAAGGATTACTTATATGTTTTGGCAAGCCTCAGAAGGGATGGCTTTTTTCCTTTGTCAGATCAATTCTTTGGGTTATTACTATAAGTGCTGTCTTCTAGATGGTCTATTCTAGATTCCTCTGTTGGTGGGGGACTAGTTGGATAAGTTACAGTGCTAGTTACTTTTTAGACACAAGGAGACCGATGCTTAAGTTGATTTGGTTTCATCCTTGATTTATATTGAAAGATGACGGTTGTTGGGATCATGATAATAAAGAAATTTAATGACTTTATCCTTGATTTAAATTGAAAGATGATGTTTGTTGGGATCAAGATAGTAAAGAAGTTTAATGACTTACTTTGATGGCCTGGCATTTCTGAGTTGTGAATGATAGAGAAAGCCTGAGGCAGGGATATGAGATTATGGGGGTAACCAACTGTGGGCTATACTGGTGGAGTACAACTAGATTTTAGGGGGCTACAAGCTTGGGGTTTGTAAAAAGGTAAAGGTTTTGCATGCAACTGTTGGTTTGGGGATAATTTGAAATGTTAATAGATAGGGGTTTCTGTTTAGATTCTATTTATGCTCTTTGTTTAGGTATTATTCATGGATGATGTGGTTCTAGAGTTTATTTTGCACTTCTAGCAGGGATAGGAAAGGAATAGATTGCCATTTTGGAGGATGTGTGCTTCCTATGTGACCCTTATTAATATCAGGCTAAGCGATTGGGGCTATATTAGAGGAATAGAGTTAGACTTTAGGAGGGGGACAAGGTCAGTGATTGTAACAAGGTAGAGGTTTTCGTAACTATGGGTGTGGGGATGATTGTCTTGGTCTTAGATTTTTGCGGTTGTTTGGGACAGTAGTGTACATGATAGCTTAGGTTTCAGATACATATCAAAAAAGAAAGATAGCTTAGGTTTCAGAATGATTTGAAATTTTAATGGATAGGTTTAGGGAGAATGGGTCTCTATAGTTTATTTTTGTATTTCTGAGAATGGGATTCTATATTTTATTTTTGCATTTCTAGCATCAACAGGAAAGGGATAGATTGACAGGAGTCTTGTTTGGAGGATGTGTGCTGCTTATGTGTTGCAGAATGTGGATGGTTTGGCAATATGAGATGTGACCCTTTTGCACAATAATAACCAGAGTGAGGACTCTGTGATATGTGTAGAGGCAAAGGACACTGTAAATGTGCAAAGGGGATTATGTTGTTCTTTCAATCTTTTTCAGAATCTTGTGTGTTGCACCATGAATCTCTGATTGTCCTCATCTCTTCTTGGCTTGCGGATTCCTTTCGAAGGTTGGATTCTCTTCAGGTGTTGATCAATATAAATCTTTTGGGGGATTTGGAGGGGATAATGTAGCCTTGTGAGGGAGGATCACATCAATGAACATTATCCATTTGGTGCTTTAGGGTTTGTGTTAGATGTTTATGGTATGTGCACAGGGAATAGAAGGCAATAGTGAGAACAAAGTTGCAGTATTAGCATCAGGGAAATGGGGGCTATCTCCCTAATCAGTACTTGAAGCCTAATTTGATTGTTTTATGGGAACTAGATCCTGGTTAGGTACGGGTTACTTGGTCCTCGTGAACAATTTCATGGATGTAGGCAATGTGGTCATTTTCAAGGTTCCCCCCTGGCATGTCCTTTATTATTATTATGGGATGTATTTGCATGATCTGCATTGTTCTGTGAATTTATAGGCATGCATGTTTTACCATTACTTTATTTTTTGTCCCAACAAATAATATTAACTTCTAAATAGCATGTATATTTAATCATGAGCTTTTCTTTTCTCATGCTTGTAAAATCTCATTCACGTTTTAGCTGATTCCACATTTGGAAGTAAAACTTGGTTGTAAGCGGTCTTTCATATTAATTGTGCTCTCTTGCTGTTGTTTTTTCCATCCATTTGGCACATACGCTTATTGGAGCAATCTAAAATACATTTTTCCTGTATTCTTTTTTTTTTTTACTTCTTCAAATTCAAACTTTAATAAGCATAATTGTTAGCTTTGCTTTTATAGATGGTGCTGTAATGCCCTCTTGGTTTGACATCTATGAGATACCGGTGACTGCTGTAAGTAGTCTCTCTCTCTCTCTCTCTCTTCTTTTTCAGATGTTCTTCAAATATTTATTCTTTAGTTAAAAAGCATTTATAAATTTTAGTTTCCATGTTAAGAGAGTTTTGAATTAAGAGAGTTTTGTTGATCTCCTTTTCATTAATATTGTTTTAGGAGTCCCCTAAAGATGAAGAAGGGGTTGTTAGAGCCGTGAGAAATGTGCATGCATTGATAGATAAGGAGGTTTCTGTTGGTATTAGCCCAGATAACATATTTGTTTGTGGATTTAGTCAAGGAGGTATGCTCATATATCAATTTATATGGTTATTATTGAGCCTTGAAAATGATATACCTATCAATCATAACTTTCCGGCTATTAATTTTCAGGCGCATTGACCTTGGCAAGTGTGTTGCTGTATCCAAAAACTCTAGGTGGCGGTACAGTCTTTAGTGGATGGGTTCCATTTAATTCTTCAATTCTAGAGAAAATTTCTCCAGAGGCCAAAAGGGTACTAGTTTTGAGTTGACCAACATTTTTTTTGAGTTTTTCTTAGAATATTGTCTTTTGGAATATGTTTCTTTAGAAGAAGGGGATGATGTCATAGTTTTTCATTGTATACATGCATGGATTTATGAGTTGTCGACTCAAACTACCAATATTATGAGTATGTTAAACTTGATCCTTCAATTTATGCATTGATTTTTGAGTTTTCGACTCAAACTACCAATATTATGAGTATGTTAAAATTGATCCTCCAATTTACAACAGCATCTTCCCATCTTTCAATATGAGCATAAGCTCCCTAAATTAGTTGATAATAAGAGTGATATAAGATTTCTTCGTATCACTTTTGCTCAGATGAGATGGGTAGTGTTTTTCGTTAGTTTCAGGTGTTTATGTATAATCACAAATCGCTAATCGTAAGCAACCTTATGCAAAGCATCACCATGTTTTTGCTGTAGAAAGACTTATGGCTTATTAAGAAGGGTGAGGGCCTTAAACTTTCCCTTAACTCATCACATATCTGGGTAAAAGGCTTGGGTTATGTTGGGTAGGCAGCCAACATAAAACTTTGCCAAAACTTATCATGAATCTTAAAATCTGCTTATGGTAGGGTGTTTTCCAGAAGCAATGTGCTGAGATATGAGGACTTATGGCCTCATTGAGGGTATGACCCTTAATAGAGCTAATGGCGGATCAGGATTCGTGTAGCAGACCCCAATTAGTTGGGAAAAAGCTTTGACGATGATGATGATGAACCTTAAAAGTGATGTTGTTTTTTATTCTCTTCCTTTTCTCCTGAATCGTTTGTTCCCTTAGTTTTATTCTCTCCCTTAGTTTTCCTTCAAATGTGGTCAGAAATATTTATAGTTCACAAGCTTAAGCGAGTATTCTTTGGTTCAAGTGTAGACTATAAAAGCGTTACGGGAAGCTTAAAAGGACATGGATAGAAGTAGTGAGAAATGATATGGTGTCTTATAGTCTTACTGAGAGTATGGCTCTTGATAGAGCAGAATGGCAGAACAAGATTCATATAGCCTACCCCAGATTGTTGGTATAAGGCTTGGATGCTGATGATGAAGCCTAATAGAGTATTCTACATCAATTTGGTAGTATTCAAGGTCTTTAACGTTCAAGAAGGCACGCCTCATTTGGAATTGATAATTAACAAACCACCTGAGTTCAAATATCATATACATAAGTTATCTTTATCCAGATTCATTTCCTTGTCTGATCTGGCAGTAGTTGGCGTTCATCAATATTAACTCATTCAAAGCTTGTTTGAGTTATTACTCTAATTTTTTGTCTTATTGATTCACCAAGAGGCTCTTTAAAACTTGACATCCTGGAAATATGGGTTGCTCCTTATTCCAGGTCAGATACATTCTTAGCAGGTTAGGTAATGAATGCACTCTCTTTGCTATGTGTAGCCTTGCAACATTGCGTAGTATTGAAATACTGAATGTAAAGTGATTATTAATAATGTTAATTTTATTTATTCGCTTCTAATTTAAATGCTTATAAATTTTTAAAATCATTTAATAACATATAAAACAACACACATGGACTGATAATTGATTGTCTAGAATTTATATATTGTGTAATAAAAAAAGGTTGAGAGGGGAAGGGGAGGGGGATGAGGGGGGCTACGACTTGTTCCTTCTTCTACTCTTTCGGGTTGCTTCGAGGAACTTCTGTGTAATGGTAAAAGATGTTGGAGGAACTCGAACTGTAGCAGACGATGGAGACGCTCTTGGGATAGAAGATGATGGATGCACTCTTGGGGCGGCGCTTGGTGAAGACTGACCGAGGATGCACTCAATGGTACGTTAAGTTGCCAATACATCGGGGTGGCTTGGAGTACTAGGCAGCTCTCTTGAATTACCCGATGGAGTGACAGATCCTAAAGGCAGTGTAGACACAACTCTGTCATCATCAACATCAAGGCGTGCATCCAACAATTCGAGAGCCTCTATGTCATCATCAAAGTGATCGTCTTCAAGATGAGAGTCTCAATTCTTACATTTCACTTTGTAGTTCGCTCGCAATCTACTCAACAGTCTGTCATTGTAATGAACATGCACCAATGATTCGGAATGATCCGCATTCAACCGATTTTGTTTAACATTGTGTATGTAGCTATACGTGCTCCAACATCTCTCTGCATATGAGGAATTAACACTTTGTGACAATACCTTCACCGCAATTGCATGCAATTCTGAAGTACCACCATCATACATGTCCCACCATGACACTGCTTCCATAGAACCCTTATCAACAATAGATAGGGAGACAGCGAAAACCCCTCTATTCCCAAGAAATCGCCAATTTGTTGCCGCAGCTTCCTCGTTCCATATCATCTAGAATCGGTACATCAAGGACTGTGTGGTAACATGCATAAACTTCTGGGTCCTGGTGGGGCTTCATCATCCTTTCACCCCCAGGTGCTGGTGTAGCCAACCACTCTCGTGAATAATACTTAGGACTGAGAAGGAATGCCAAACAATGCAACCGAAGATTTGATCGGTTCCAATGAGCCACGGCCAAAGTCTTCACCCTCTGAAATAACACAAGATCGTCATATAGGGCCACCACAATTTCCCCCAACATAGTATCCACGCACTCGTATGCATCTCCCACGACAACCCTGTTGCTATTTACAAACTTTATAGTCTTCCATTTTGACCTTGTAAAAGACAATATCAATTTATTCATCTTCTAGTATTCGTCGTCCATGATAGTATCATGAACGATACTATGTTGATTATCTGATGTGCCTCATTTCAAACCTTCCCACTCACTACCCAACACTAAAGACGTCAAGGCAACTCTCACTTCCATCAATCTCCTCAACATGATATAGTGATACTAAAACCTCATCTTCTCAGCCTTAAAAATTTCTAAGTTAGAATGGGTCCGAAAAATGTACAGGCATCTTGTATGATTATGAATGTACTTTACGACTGCCTTTGCATGCTTACATTGTTTACGAACGAAAGCAAAAGATGGATTTTTCTTATTTTTGTCAACAATATCCTTCATTAGTAGACTCAAAGTATGAGCCAAGCAACCCGACCAAAAAATGTGAGAATGACGACGTTGAATTATTGCACCTTCACCTTTGCAATTGGCCACATTGTCAGTTACGACTTGAACCACATTATATGGTTCAATCGACTCTATGGCTTTCAAAAGGATATCAGCAATCACTTGGCTAGTCTTTTCAACTGATGAAGGGGCGAGTTGGTGTTCCAGTGCTAGCTTTGCCAACCACGTTCTCCCCTAGATGATACACAAACACATGTCGATGCCACCATCTTTCCTTCATGCACAACATGCAGCCTTGTAGCTACGACACTGCCTATAGGCCCCTATATCGCACACTATCATCGCTTGAGCTTGAGAAAACCCAAACTCTTCTAATGGCTAAACAATCTACGTAGTGACACCTGACTCTTCCTAAATGGTATTGAAGTACTCCTAATGTTTAAAAAGTCTACCCAGTGACACCTGACCCACTCACCCCTTCAATACTTCAGAAACTTGATTCAAAATATGTTAGAATCACGATTCTACACAGCAACATATCTAGATACCACATATGTCAGAAACTCAAATCAAGTGATGTCGGAAACTCGATTCCACTATTGTAATTCTCGGTCTCAAACCAGCATGGATCTCTGATCGATATACTTCAGAAACTTGATTCCAAATATGTTAGAAACACGATTCTATAGATGATGGAAACTCGATTCCAAATATGTTAGAGTCATGATTCCATAAATGATGGAAACTCGATTCTGCATATGTTGGAAACTCGATTCCATATATGATGGAAACTTGATTCCGCATATGTCGGAAACTCGATTCCATAGATGACAAAAACTCGATTCCGCATATTAATGAAACTCGACACTTGGAGTGTCGAACCCAAGGGGATGGGAATCTCGATTCCAAGGAGGCCAAAATCTCGATTCCATATCTGGATGAAACTTTGACCTATTCCAATGGATACTCGATTCCTGAAAATTAGGAATCTCGTTCCCAGCGATTCCTATTGTACGGACAACGATTCCTGCAACGGGAAACTTCTGGCCAGGTGCGATTCCGCGATTCTGGTTCCTGAAACGATTCAGGTTCCCAGGCGTTTCCAACAACTATGATATAAGCCAAGGAAATAATGGTCATATTTAGTTTATTTGGCTATTTTCATAACACATATATCTCTATATGATCCCATGGTGTGATGATTGAATAACCATTGCCCTCGCCATCTGTTTAGAGATTTGCATGCTTCATGTCTATCTTCTAGGATTTAGAATTTAACACACCAATCCTGGTTTGGAAAGGTGTTGAGTTTTCTTCAGATCCCTTCGTTCCAATAAATCAGATCCAAATTTCAACATATTTTAAAAGGGGCTACTCAAAAATACCAATGTATTTTATTAGGAGGAAAGAATTCACTCCTAGCCATGGGTTTGTTGACTTCTTGCTGCCTTGCTTCCATGAGATTACAATGATTCCTTTGGTTCAAGCTCACATATTTTCCTATTACAAGAAATGTCATGCCTAGCCAGGTAGGCGATGCATGCTGGCCTTGGCGTACCATATGATAGCAGGCTACACAACCTGAATTCCTACTTCCTAAACCTACAACCTACCCCAAATCCAGCGATATTTTCTCGTACAGTTCCCATTGACATTCACCCCCCTAAACCTTATATCATCAAAGACAAATGTTCCTACTGTGAAACACTGCCCAACAAATACATATTAACACCTTGTAATGTTTTGTGATCCTACCTTTCATCTCCACTAGTTTTGATGGCTGGCTTGCCCAATTTACGGAGCTTGTCTTCTAAACTCCGCCACTAGACTGTAGCTGACTCCTTTAATTTTAGCTTTAACAAATCTGATTTTTCTGGCCTCATGCATATTGTACCAGTCATGGTAGTCTTGTATACTAGTAAACCAGTCTAAAAGAGGTGGAGGATCCATTCTTTCATA